AAAAGTTCTAAGCTTTCGCGGATGTTTTTATATACAGAATTGCCAGTGGGGATTGCAAAATTGGTATCTCTAGAATATCTCGACCTATCATTCACAGATATAAGAGAGCTACCAATTGAATTGAAGGCTTTACAAAGGCTGAAGTGTTTGAACTTGAATAGCTTGCATCACATCACAATCCCAAGAGGGTTGATATCTGGTTTCTCAAAGCTGCGAATATTCAGAATGATTGTCTATTATCCTTCCGATGGGGCAGCAGAAGAAAGTGATGAATGCTTGTTAGAAGAATTGCAGTGCTTGAATCACTTGAATGCATTGTCCTTGTCCGTAACAAGTGCCTTTGCTCTTGATAGATATTTGAATGCAGAAAGATTACACAACTACACTGAAGTTATTTCGCTTGCGGTTTTGAAGGACTCAATGCAATTGAATATTTTATCTTTAGGGAATATCAAGTCTCTACATTCTTTAGCAGTTGAGAATTGTGAAAGTTTGGAAGAAGTGAAGATGGAGAGGGCAGGGGAAGGCACAATGATAAAAGCACAGAACCGCACTCAAACCTCTGTGATTGTAACCCAACATTGCTTCCAAAGCCTCAACAAGGTAATCATATTCAACTGCTCAAAATTGAGGGACATAACATGGCTTGTTCTCGCACCAAATCTGAGGGATGTTTTAGTAAGCGAATGCGATAAAATGGAAGAAATAATCAATGAGAAAAAACTGAGTAAGGTGGCAGAGCTTGTAGGAACTTTAACCCCGTTTGTAGCACTCGAATATCTTACTTTAGAGGAGCTACCAGAATTGAAGAGCATTTACTGGAATGCACTACCCTTCTCATGTACCAAGGAAATTCGTGTTCGAGATTGCCCAAAGCTGAGGAGACTTCCACTCAACTCTAGCAGTGCAAAAGGAAACAAAATCGGCATTAAAGGAGAGGAAAAGTGGTGGAAAGAGCTGCAATGGGAGGATGAATCTACTAGAAATGCTTTTCTTCCTTGTTTCATTGCAATTTAAAGAAAGGCGTGAAATTGCAAGAAAGTAATCTTGCATTTGCCTTTCTCCATCTCTGTTACTGTTGTCTTGAACTTGTTGTGTCGTATGTAGCTTTTGTCGCTTTTCTAAGTTGTATCATGTTCTATGGTTAACTGTAAGTTTCTGGTGAATCTGGGTCATTTGGTAAGAAGTAGAAGCTTTCGTAGTTGGTTCAACTTTGTTGTACTTTGAGACTACTTGATGCTTTTATATTGTCTATTAGAAGTTCAATCTGAATATCTAATTTGTTTTATCCATGTTTGTCTAACATGTCTTGCAAATTGTTGTTGAAGCAAAAGCACCAATCAAAAGGAGGTAAAGATGATGCATTGCATATTGTTTTGGTTGACTATACTATGCAGAACTGTTGTGAGGAATATCTATGTCCGATGCTTCATTGTTTTTGAAGAAATTTTGTTATCATCAGTCAATTTATCGTGGAGCTTGCTAAAAATACTATGTTTCTTGCAGAGAGTTTTTTTTGTTTTTTTGAGAAGATCTGATTTTTCCTTTATTCTTGAAAAACATTGTAGACATGCACCAAGACAGTTTTTGGGTGCTGCTATCCTCAGGCCTACTTGATCTAGCTACTTGTACTCTGTCTGAAGAGAAGAGAAAGAACCCTCAGAAAGCAAGAAAGCAAAATCACCTGCTGCTCCTTTTTAGTAGATTGAGAAAGACTTTAAAGCTCGTCTGTGTGCCCCATCAAATGTAGCTGCTGAACCAGAAAATAAGGGTTGTTGTTGAACGGATATATCCCAATAAAGTATGACATATATTAGATGCATCATTTGTTAAAAACGACACCTAATAATTAGTGTATTTATATAGTATAAAATATTAATAATTTATGTATTTATATTATATTTTATATAAAAATTATATGTCATAATTTGTATTAATATAAAAACTCAAAATACATTTTATTGGTTTTGTCAAATTCATATATAAATTATATCATTTTCTCTTTTTTTTTTTTATATAATTTAATTAAATCTCTAACAATTCTATATAGTTTGACGAAATCATGAACTAATAATGTTGAGCATTTGATTCATAAAAAAAATATAATTGAATCTTAAACATAGGAAACATTTAAACTAATAATCATGTTTTTTTGAACGCATTACAAAACTTTAATATTTGAATTAAGATTTATTAAGTTTTTTATTGGTAATAAGAAACCTTATACCTTATTACATTAAATGGATATATTTTACATATATATATGATAAATGATATCAAAGAGTATCCTATTAAAATATACCTTAATAACTTTTTCTTGCATGCATTCTTGCACCTATATAAAATATTTTTTAAAATTAATTTTCTCTCTATATTATGTTGTTGTCGAATATATATTAATTAAAATCAGCATTTAATTGTTTGTATCTTTTTACGCTTTTTTTTTTTTTGGTTGAGGTTTTTGATTAATGTTTAACTATTATAAATATGGTGTTAGACAATCATTTTTTTACTTATTAAAAAAATAGCTCAATAGAAAATTCAAATCATGTCATGATCGAAACACTTTGGCTTCAAGTTTATAAACTTTTAAAACTAAATTACACTTACAAAAGAATTAAAACTCAACTATATTTCATAAAGTGATAATTATAAATTAATTATAATCCATATTTTTAAAATTATTAATTTAAATCTTTATCTAATTAATAATAATTTTTAGTTCCAATAAAATTTAAAGTCCCTAAAATATAATTAATATTATTAATAAAACTTTCAAATCAAAAATAACAGACACGTACAATTTGATTTATGGTTGAGTTAAAATTTTTAAATTAAGAAATAAAAACGAAATTTCATACATAAACTTTGCAATTTTATAGCAAAGAGTACTACGTGTTTGTTGCGTGACATGTGACAGCTTCTTGATTTTTTTTAATATTTTTTTGGTGAGTCTCGCTTTTTTTTTTTGTTTTTTCGTTTAAAGGGTGTGAGGTTCAAAATTTTCTTAAGGTAGGGGATACAACATATTTTTAACTCATTCCTTGTTCTTTCGGCTTTTTGTTTTTCAATTGATTGAGCCCACATGTTTTTTAAAATTTTTTAAAAGGTAGGGGCTCACATGTTTTAAATTTATCTTTTGATTTTAAGTTTTTCACCCATTTTAACTTCTTTTTTATTATATTCAATATTTTAAAGATATGTATTAAAAAAGTTTTTAAAACTCACTTATACTAATTGTTTTGAACCTTTTTTCTATTTTTTCCTTTTCTAGCTTTTTCAAAAAAATTATTTTTTTTTAATTTTATTTTAAAATTCACTTTCAAGGGTTTATTTTTTTCTTAATTTTTCTCTTTTAGTTTTACGTAAATGATAAATATTTTTTGTTTAAATATTTTGCCAGACCCATTTTATATCAATTATATATAATATGTCAAGTCATTTATTTTTTATTCATTTTTTATTAACTTTTTAAATATTTAATAATTTTTTATATTTTAACATTTTTAATACGAGCCACGTGATATTATTATTAAAAAAACATGTTTTATTTTTTTAATAATACATTTTTTAAAAAATATGTTCGTGGATGCGTTGGCTTTGCATCCATTTTTTTTTTATTTTTTAGTTTTATTTTTTAAAAAATAGAAACGATATTTGAGATGAAAACAAAAAAAAAAATGATCATTTCGGCATATTCTTCCAAAAAATTATAAAAAATTAAACGAGAAAAAAGAAAGGTTATAAGCATCCAGTGAAGAAAAAAATAAAAAGGGATGATGTCGGATTATGCTTCCAAAAAATATATAAAAATAGCAAATGAGAAAAGGAAAGGTGATAAGCATCCGACGAAAAAAAAAAAAAGGGTTCACGTCAAATTTTAAAGGAGAGAAGGAAAAGTGATAAGCATCCAATGGCTATGAGCTTTGGGTCCTGCTGCTTTTATTGACTGATTTGAAGATTCAGAGCAAATTCTTTGCAAGCGCCTATCATTTGTGGAATTTGATAAAAAGGATATTGGAAATAAAAATACTCTACTCTTCTACGCTGTCATTTACGGGAAATCAAATCAAATACAAAGGTTTTTTAACCCTTTTTCTAATTTTTTTTACATGCAAAATTTTTTATTATTGAACATTAAGAAAATTTTAAGTAAAAAATTATATTTTTTGTAACCTATGACTTTGAGTTTTGATTGATTTTCATAACCTTCAATTATGTGCATTTCAAAGTTTCTGTTGTTACGAAGTTATAATCAAATTTTAAAAAATTTCAATATAATTTTATAAAAAAGTTTTAATATTTATTTGATCATTTTTTTCTTATTTATTTATGTTTAAATATTAAAAATTTTATGCTAATTATTTTTGTTTCCCAATATTTTAAAATTAGAAATGAAAAAGAGAAACATAATATAAATAATAAATTGGAATAATAATGCAAATGGAAATCATAAAATTTTAATTTTAATATTTAGTTCTAAAACAATATTAATCTTCTTTGTGAATTTTTTTCAAATCAAGTTTCAATCATTAAAACTCCGGTTTTTGTTATTCGAACTTGCAATTATAAATTTATAACAATTGGAAATTTGGATGGTAGCAAGTGACGTCAACTCAATAAAATATAAGTAATTATAAAAAATTAAACTAAATTATTATTAAAAAATAAAATCATTGATGCATATTTCTTCCCATTAAAAAAAAACAAAAACAAAACGACCCAAATTTTTTATCTATTATTCTCTTCCAAAAATTTGTCTTTTCAAAATATTATTTTTTTCTACCAATTCTAGTATCAACTATTAGAGAGTGGAATCTCTTATATGTATGTTGAATAAAATAATTTTAAATATTTTAAATGCATTGTTCTCAATTGTAAAAATAAAATATTTTAAAATTAAAATTCATTGATAAGTGACAAAGTGCCACCATAGGAAGACCAGAGGCAGCCTCCTCACTTGACTTCCACAGTTCCACTTTGAATGAATGTAAATTCTAATAATTTTGAAAAGTTAGATTCCCATTCCACTAAGTAAGAAATTAATATTTAATTACTCAGGTATGGTGCTCTTTGCACCTGTTGTCGCCTTTGAATCAAACTTCTTATTGTTCTTTCTTCCTCTCGTCGTTAAAACACTCATCTTCTTCTCTGGTCATTAGAATTTTTCTTGTTTTTCCTGTTGGGAAATTTAATCATTTTCTTGGAATTATAATCTTGTGCAACACTATGGGGAACGTTTTCTCGTTTCAATTGTCGTGTGATACCATAATTTCTCGCTGCTGGGATTGTGTTGCTGGACAAGTAATCTACCCATGCCATCTTGAAGAAAACCTTGCTGGATTGAACACAGCTCTGGACGAATTAAAGGAGAGAAGGAATGATGTGGAGACGGAAGTCAACATCGCTGTACAACAAAAATTGAGGCCGCTGGATGAAGTTCGAGGATGGCTTTCAAGGGCGGAAACTATGATAAATGAAGTTCAACTGCTTATTGATGGTCCTGAAGAAATCAAGAATTTATGCTTGGGAGGCTGTTGTTCCAAGAATCGCAAGCCTACCTTCAATTTCAGCAAAAAAGTAGCCAAAAGACTACGCGATGTTAAGGATCTAAAGGGAAAGGGAGATTTTAAAGTGGTAGCTACGGAGGCACCTGCACCTTCGGTGGTTCAAAGACCGAGCGACTCTGCCTTAGGCTTGGAATCCATGTGCAATAAGGTCTGGAGTGCCTTTGAACAAAAGCATGTGGGAATTATTGGCTTATATGGCGTTGGGGGAGTTGGCAAGACAAGGCTCTTGACTGAAATCAATAACAAGATTGGTGTTTTATCCGGTGGTTTTGATGTGGTTATTTGGGTTGTGGTGTCTAAAGCATTTTATATTGGAAGGCTCCAAGATGATATTGCAAAGAGGATTGGCCTTTTTAATGGAATTTGGAGTGAGAAAACACCCGATGAGAAAGCTATCGACATCTCGGAGATTTTGAGAGAAAAGAAATTTGTATTGTTGTTAGATGATTTATGGGAAAGAGTTGACCTATCCAAGGTAGGGATACCCGTCCCGAATCAAGAAAATGGTTCCAAACTAATTTTTACAACTCGTTCTACTGAGGTGTGTGGCCAAATGGGAGCTCATAAGAAGATTCAAGTGCAATGTTTGCCCGAAGAAGAGGCTTGGAAATTGTTTGAGGAACATGTTGGTAAAGATGTCTTTGATTGTCATCCAAGTATTCGTGGGCTAGCTCAAGAAGTGGCCAAAGAATGTGGAGGACTACCTCTTGCAATCATCACCATCGGTCGTGCCATGGCTTGCAAGAACACACCCGAAGAATGGAAAGACACAATTGAAGTCTTGAAGAAATCAGCCAATTTAGTTTTTCCAAACATGGGTGAAGAGGTATATCCCCTTCTAAAATTCAGTTATGATAATTTGCAAAATGACATGGTTCGATCTTGCCTCCTATATTGTAGCTTGTTCCCTGAAGATTTTCAAATTGATAAAGAAAAGCTGATAGATTTCTGGATAGTAGAAGGATTTTTGGATGAACATGACACCATAAGTCACGCTCGAAATCAAGGACACCGCATCATTGGTTCTCTCATTCATGCATGTTTACTGGAAGGAGTATATGATTGGAGTATAAAAATGCATGATGTGATTCGTGACATGAGTTTGTGGATAGCATGTACGTGTGAAGCAGAGAAATGGAAGTTTTTTGTGCAAGCAGGTTATCATTTGACTCGAGTGCCAGAAGGTGGAAGATGGAAAGGTATGCGAAGAATATCGTTGATGAAAAACGAGATTAAAAATCTAACAGAAGCACCTAACTGTCCCGATCTTCAAACTTTGTTTCTCAATGATAACCATCAATTGAAGGTGATTCACAGTGATTTCTTCCAATTTATGTGTGGCCTAAAAGTTCTAAGCTTTAGGAATTGTCATCTTATAACTAAATTGCCTGTGGGGATTGCAAAATTGGTATCTCTAGAATATCTCGACCTATCATTCACAGGTATAAGAGAGCTACCAATTGAATTGAAGGCTTTACAAAAGCTGAAGTGTTTGAACTTGAGTTGCATGTACTGTCACATCACAATCCCAAGAGGGTTGATATCTGGTTTCTCAAAGCTGCGAATATTCAGAATGATTGTCTATTCTCCTTTGGATGAGGCAGTAGAAGAAAGTAATGAATGCTTGTTAGAAGAATTGCAGTGCTTGAATCACTTGAATGCATTGTCCTTGTCTGTAACAAGTGCCTTTGCTCTTGATAGATATTTGAATGCAGAAAGATTACACAACTACACTGAAGATATTTCGCTTGAGGTTTTGAAGGACTCAATGCAATTGAATATTTTACCTTTAGCAAATATCAAGTCTCTACATTCTCTAGCAGTTGCGAGTTGTGAAAGTTTGGAAGAAGTGAAGATGGAGTGGGCAGGGGAAGGCAGAATGACAAAAGCACAGAACCGCATTCAAACCTCTGTGATTGTAACCCAATATTGCTTCCAAAGCCTCCACAAGGTAATCATGATCAACTGCTCAAAATTGAGGAACATAACATGGCTTATTCTCGCTCCAAATTTGAGGAATGCTTTTGTAGAAGACTGCAATAAAATGGAAGAAATAATCAGTGAGATAAAACTGAGTGAGGTGGCAGAGCTTGTAGGAACTTTAACCCCATTTGAAACACTCAAATATCTTACTTTAAGGAAGCTACCAGAATTGCAGAGCATTTACTGGAATGCACTACCCATCTCATGTATAAAGGAAATTCACGTTCAAAATTGCCCAAAGCTGAGGAGACTTCCACTCAACTCTAACAGTGCAAATGGAAACAAAATCAGCATTAAAGGAGAGGAAAAGTGGTGGAAAGAGCTGCAATGGGAGGATGAATCTACTAGAAATGCTTTTCTTCCTTGTTTCATTGCAATTTAAAGAAAGGCATGAAATTGCAAGTAAGTAATCTTACATTTACCTTTCTCCATCTCTGTTACCGTTGTCTTGAACTTGTTGTGTCGTATGTAGCTTTTATCGCTGTTTTAGGATTTGGCAAGCAATAGATGGCGTTTGGAGGGCCAGAAAAACCCCACTTGGAGCTTAGATCTAGAAAAGTCTAAGGCCTTTTTAGGGAAATCGAAGCAGATACAAAAAAGATGAGATTGAGGATAAAGGAATTTATTTATTTTTTGGTTTTCAGTACCGACGATGACGACGGTGGCAGCTATAGAGCTTCGTCGGAACCTAGGTTCAGTTGAAGTTTCCGATGAGTGTACTGTTAAGTTTTATAAAAAGGTTAGAGAAAAAGGACAGGAATTTTGGGTTAGAGAGAGAAAATGAGGCGAAGAACGAGATCAGCCTGTTGATTTTTGGGATTTTATTGGATATTAAAACGTTGTCGTTTTGGTAACTAAAGGAAGAAGCTGCAAGCTACATCTTAATTGTGACCTGCGGCCCAATTTGAGTGGCAAGCCAGCCCATATAACTTGGTTTGGGCTGCTAAATTTGGTTTCACCCAAAATTTTGATAGTATTATTTTTAAAATTTTAGTTTTATTTATTTGGTTATTTTAATTTTTAATTTTATGTTTTTTATTTTAATTTTTAGATTAGGTAAATGTTTTAATTATTTTAATACGTGATAGTCAAGAAAACCAAAAATGAGAAACAATAAGATTAAATAATTGTAGATATAATTGTTTTGAACAATTATATTTTTACTTTCTTCATGTAAATTTAATAAATTTTGAGGCTAAATGGAGATTTGACCAATGACGAAATTTTATGAAAATTTGCTTACTTGCTATTTTCTTGGAAGTGTCTAAGCGAAACAACTTTATATTGTCTATTAAAAGTTCAATCTGAATATCTAATTTACTTTAACTACATTTATCTAATATGTCTTGCAAATTGTTTTTGAAGCAAAAGCATCAACTAAAAGAAGGTAATGATGATGCATTGTTTATTGTTTTGGTTGAAAATACTGTGTAGGATTGTTGTGGGAATATCTATGTCCAATGCTTCACTGTCTTTGAAGAAATTTAGTTATCATTAGTCAATTTATCATGAAGCTAGCTTGCTAAAAGTACTATGTTTCTTGCAGAGAGTATTTTTTGAGAAAATCTAATATTTCCTTTATTCTTAAAAAATACTGTAGATGTTCAGCAAGACAGTTTTGGATGCTGCTATCCTTAGGCATACTGGATCTGGCTACTTGTATGTACCCTGTCTGAAGAGAAGAGAAACAAGCCTCAGAAAGCAAAATCACCTGCTACTCCTTTTTAGCAGATTGGGAGAGACTTTAAAGCTCGTTTGTGTGCTGCTGAACTAGAAAATAAGGTCATTGGTGATCATTGTGGTGTAGATTATAATTACTCGTTCCTTAATCGGATTGCTTGTTACAGTGTTGCTTTTCTGTTGTAAACCTCGGGATTATTTTTCGTTAAAACAGATTTACTGTTGTTTTCCTGGTTCTTCTTGCATGAATGTAATTTCAATTGTCCTAAAAAAAAAGCTACTTACCCACCCCTCTCCGCTCAACCCACCCACATACATTGTTTAAGTATTCATCTTACACAAACTTTTTAGTTGTGTTATTGTGTGTATCATATTTCAATAAGCAACTGATCCTTTAACAAAGTTTGATAGTCACTTCTCCATAAATTTTTTCTCTTAAGTAGGAGTATGTTAGAATGGAAGGATGAAAGAAGTACAAAATATTGAGCCACTTATACCAAAATCAAGATCATATTTCATAATACAAAACCCTCCAAGGAATCGATAAAAAGATTTATTGAAAAGTCGAGTTTCGACCACCTAAATTTGGACTATCAGAATTATCATTTTTTTAAACTTCAAAAATTCTTAATTCTTAAAATACACAATCAAATTAAATGCTACAAAGATCATTTACCTTAAAACTTGACATGCAACCATAAAATCTCAAGATGGCAACCTTCATCATTGTTGCTCTCTTTCTTTCTTTTTTTAACTTTTTCTTTTCTTTCGCTTTAGAGAGAAGAATGCATTATAATAGGATTAAAATCTGATAAATTACACTATGACCACTAAAAGTGTTCTATTGTTTAAAACAATCCTTGTTGCCAAAATCGTCCAAACTTTATTTTTACAATTTAGTCCCCTTCACAAATTCATCCAACAACATACCAAAATTAAAACACCCAAGCTAAAATAAATAAAATAATATTTTTATAATATAAAAAATTAATATAACAAAAGCTTTGGGAGTTGGCAATGAAATACCCCACTGATTAAAGTGTGTAAATTTGAATATTTTGAAGTTTTTCCATTATCTCTTTTTTCGCTTTTGAATTTTCTAAACTAGTATGATTTGTTGAAAATGCCATTTTATGAGATATCTTTCTTTTTCATTTTACATATAATGCGTCAAAGTCGAAGATTGGGGTGAGAATCTTATACATTTCTGTCAATCCATAGTTTATATCTACATCCTTTTGGTTGCTGACTTGCACCTACTTCAATTTAGCAGATGATTCTAAAGTGACTAAAATGTCTGGTTTGACTGGCCAGCTTTTGCAAAATCATCTGGGGTGAGTTCGTAATTGTTTTTGCAATTCATTAATGCAAGCATATATGCTATGCAAAATCATTATTGAAGTTTACTGGGCAGTTAATGAACTATGCTTGCATAGCTGTTTCAAATTTTAACTCTGTTTTAAGCATCTGTGAAGAAACAATAGATGGGACTTGGAGAAAATGCAGTAGTTGATTTGTCTGATTTTTATGCACTCATAATTTAGAAATTGAGAATAAATATGCGAATATGCCTGCTTAGGGACTTCCTTTTATAAATGAATGAAAGAACATACTTTTAGCTTTTTTTTTAGAAGTTTGTAGTTTACAATTTCTAACTACGGGTGGAATCTCTGGTCAGAGATATATGCAATACCACTTCAATTGCTGAGTTTGAACTAAAAGTAAGCTGGTTTAAACTTTAAATACTTGTGTCATAAATTGCTTTATAATGTGAATGGCTTTTCTACGTGAAATTGTTTTCTTTTGTATCCAAAAGAATTGCAGATCTTTTGTTTTATGAATTATCAAATTCTTAAGCTTTCTGTCTGTCTCCATGTGTTAGCTTGGTGGATTTCGGCTATATATTGTGAGGGACTTAGCTGGAAAAAGTGAAGCTCCAACTGCGATCCCAAGTCCTCCTCCTGTCAGCTTCAGCAGTAATAAAACTGTTGAAGCACCTGACTCAAATGGGGCTGTTTCTTAACCTTCTTTAGCTATCACCAAATCAATATCTTCTTCAGGGAAAATCCAATCATTACTTGATAAAGCTGCAGATGAAGGCTTGGTGATACTTCAGTCTCCAAAGGTGAGAACCTGAAATTTGAATTCTTCTCTTTCTTTGAACTAGTAGAACTAAGATGATAAATTGTGCAGGTAGGTTTCTTCAGGAGAAAAAGGGAAGCATGCTCCACCGTCGTGTAAAGAGTTAATACTTCAATAGATTTTGGTAGGAGTATTTGTTTATTTTAGGGGACCAAAAAATACATTGTTTTGATCACATTATAATAAAAGATGCCGTTTTTACAATTTGATCATAGCTTTCAAGATAGTTTCACTGTTCCTCTTTTTCAAAATATCTTCAACAGACAAAACATACATGAAACTACTAGTTTTGGAAGCCATCTCTAGTGTATCCCATTGGTTTTCTTGTACTGTCAAATTGAGAGTCCCAATTTTATTTTTTTTTTCATAGGTTAGAGGTTCTGTTGAGAAATTGTGAGTTAGTTTCTGTAACAAAAGGATCAATCCCTGATGGCAACATTTTCTATTATGCAACAGAAGCAAATATTGAAGGAGGGGAAAGTGCTTTGCGACATTGAGCAACTAGGCGGTGAAGTTCCAATTGAGGTATGACTCTTGACATAGATGGGAATTACTATGTTTTTTGTATGTTGACTGATGGAAATCGAGGGTTGATTTCACCCTACTTCTCTTGCTACTTACTTCATATTTATGCTTCTATTTATCTGACCAATCGATCTGGATTTCATTTTCTAATTCTGATCATTCTTTTACCAGTCTGATGTATCTGGGGAAGTCATAAAAATTCTAAGAGAGGATGGTGGTATGTCTTGTCATCTTTCGATATATTTCATTTTGTGGTATTTTGTAGTGACCTGGTCATTTATTCTTACTTGTTTTGCTTAACATGACTGGCGATGCTCCTATCGCACTACTCCCCTTCTTTCTGGGGATAAAGAAGCTGCAGTAGGTGATTTGGTTGATTTGCTTGTCGTTATACAATGATGGTACTTAATAGTTTGTCACAGATATAACCTTTGTGTTCTTTACCTTCTTTAATATAATGATTATAAATGCCTGTAGGATTGGAGTACACGAGATCTCCATGAAAATTTAGTGTTTCTGATAAACATTTGTAGTATTGGAATGGGTTCTTTCCTACAAGTAATCGGAAATGGAACAACATTTGGAATCTGCCTTTGAACTTCCACTTTCCAATTAATTACTGTCCAGCGGGGGGATGTTAACTTTGGACTTTATTGCCTGAATGTATGATATATTTATAATAAGGCTATATGGGAATAGAAATGTTTTCTTTTTTGCGTGAACTGATATATTCCAATATAGTATGACATACATCATATGTATCATTTGCCAAAAACTATACAGTAATTTATGTATTTATATCATATTTTATATAAAAATTATGTATCATAATTTATATCAATACAAAAACTTAAAATATGTTTTATTAATTTTGTCAAATTCATATATAAATTATATCATATTCTTTTTTTTTATTATTTTCTATATAATTTAATTAAATCTCTAACAATTCTATATAATTTAATGAAAATTATGAGTTAATAATGGTGAGCATTTGATTCATAAAAAAAATATAGTTAAATCTTAAACATAAAAACCATTTAAACTAATAATCATAAAAGTGATAATCATAAATTAATTATAATCTATATTTATAAAATTATTAGTTTAAATCTATATCTAATTAATAATAATTTTTAGTTCCAATAGAATTTAAAGTCCCTAAAAAATAACTAAGAGTCAAATAAAAAAAAAATGGACACATACCATTGGGTTTATCGTTGAATTGGGACTTTTAAATTAAGTAATAAAAATGAAATCTCATATATAAATGCTGCAAATTTACAATAAAAAATGCCACGTATCAGTCATATGACCTGTCACGTGGCAACCTTTTGATTTCTTATTACTTTTTTGTGGTGGCTCCTGCTTTTTTTGTTTTAATTTTTTAAAAGGTGTTGGGTTTTTTTTTCGAAGGAGTGGGATCCATTTTTTTTCAATGGATTCCATTTTATTTTGGCTTTTTCTCTTTTAATCGGTGGGATAACATGTTTTTTTAACTTTTTAAAAATGTGTGGGGTTCACATTTTTTAAGTTGATCATTTCATTTTATTTTTCTCACTCATTTTTCAAATTTCTTTCTTTTTTGTTATATTCAATATTTTAAAATATATATTTAAAAACATATTTTTTGTTTGATTCACTTCTTTTTTTTTTTTTACTTTTTTCTACTTCTTTTTTTATAATTTTTCAAAAAAATTATTTTTTTTTCGTTTTAATTTTATTTTAAAACTAACTAGGTATCAAGAGTTTCACATCTGAATTTTTTTTTTTTTAATTTTATTTTTAATTTATAATATAAAATTTTCGATAAAAACTCATAATTATTTATGTGAGGTGCAACTCAATTTTTTCTTTTTACCTTTTCTTTTTTTAATTTTTTAATTAAAAATATTTCTTAACAAAAGAAATTGGTCAATCAATTTTTTTAAAAAAATCAATGAAGGTGGATATGACAAAAATCATGTTTTTGATGTATTTCGGTCAATTTGGATTTAATAGATTTATTCTTTTAAAAAAATTGAGTTTGAATCAAGTTTTTGTTTTTTAAATCCATGTCAAATCAAAAACGATTTTAAAGTGTTTTGTTTTGCCTGAATATGTAAATATATTTTTAATTATTCATTTGATTTTATATTTTATTTATATATCAATAAAATTAATATTTAATATCTTAGTTTAATAAATTTTTGTGTTATTTTTACAAATTTAATGTTAATCAATTTTATTGCAAATTATATTTATCATAATATATATATCCGTAAATCTATAACTAAATTTAACAAAAAAAATCACTATCAATTTTTTTTACCTAGATATGATTTATCACATAATTAATCTATCATTTTAAAAAACTCTTAAGCTTAATTAAGAGTTCTTAAAAGAACAAGTTCTGGTCTACTAATCAAAACAAGATTCAAGAGTTTGCTTATATATGAGAAAAGTTATAACACCCTTAAATACCCATCCAAAGGATAATAACATTTTATTTTAAATTATCTTAAGAACTTGATTCTACTGGTCTTAAATTTACTATTAAAAATAATTCTTAAGATTTCTTTATCAATTTGGTAGAATTCCTAAAAATTCTCTCACATCAAGAATATTCAAGAATCCTATTTATTATCTTGATGTTGCTCCATCGTCGAAAAAATTTAATCATTTTTTATTAAAAATATATCTAATTATTTTACTATTTGTACCAAATTAGAAATTTCTTCTCACCTAAAAATTTTTTAGATAATCATCCATTTATGATTACTAAAAATTTTATCCTCGAAATTTATTTTTTATTTTACAAATTTTATTTCTAAATTTTTCACCATTTGGGCCAATTTAAAAATTTTTTTT